GGCGGGCGGGCAGCGGCCCATCTGGGGCCCCCTGCCGGTCATTAGGAATTACTCGGCTTCTCTTTTTCCGTCCTTAGCCTCCTGCCTCTCCAGCCCTCTGAAGGCAGCAATCGCAGTGCAGACCTCCCTGTGGGCTAGTCCCTCCCCCTCCAAGCACCAAGTTACTAGACAACCCCCAAGTGCCGGGCACACAGTGTCTCACCAGGCCCTCTCTCTCTCCACTGATGCTTCAAAGACTCTGTCTGGAGGGGTGGGGGCATTCATGCGTCCTCCTGTCTGGCAGAAGATATAATTGACTCTAATCACACTTCTTCTTCCTCCATAGCTTGGCATTACATTTCCACTTCTTTTCTCCCTAAGCCTCAAGTACCAGCTTAATAGCTGATCTCAGCTTATTAAGCATTTGCTTAATAACTAATTCTCAGTTACTGTTATGACTGCTTTTAATCAAGCAAGATGATCATAATCAGTTGAAGTGGGAAGGGAGAGCAGGCAGGCTACTTGAGGGCACAGTGGACTTTCAGGGACATTACCACACAGTGAAACTGCTGCTTCTCTTTGCCTTCTTAGCACGTCAGGTTCTAATGCCCTCACGTAGGATGTGCTGTTCCCCTGTTTCTTATCCCTTGGAACCCAGTTTGTTGAAGATCTAGGACAGGAGACAGGAGGTAAGAAAGTATTAACTCATTCATTTCATAGAGCCCCTTCCCCGTCTAATGTTGCCCTCACCCTTCTCTCTGTGTGTTTTGCTATAGGGCATGTTTGCTTGATGGAGAGAGACCAAGAGAGAGAGGGAAAGTGAGAAATCCCCCCCCCCCAGGGGTATGTCCATACTGCAATCTCTTCATTCTCCTCTTGGGATTTTGGGCATGCACACACACATGCCTGGCACAGTTTTCAAGCCTCTGGGTCTAGGACTCGAGCCACAAAGTTGGCCACGTGGGATCCAGCCCCCTTAACCACTATGCCACTGGCTGGCCCCTGTCTCTCTATTTTTAAAATGTATCCATTTATTTCTTCCATGAGAGAGAGAGAGCCATCCCTGACAGGATCTTCACACCACAACCCGTCCCCAGCCTCAGGCGACCAGGATCATGAACATGCATGTGCATGTCCAGTGTACCTGGAGAGTCCTCGGGACAAACCCAAGCCCTTCCTGTGTGGCTTAAGCACTGCAGAGCATTGCATTTCCATCGTGCCACTGCGGCTGGGTGAAAGCTGCTGTCTCTCGGGTACGCTCACAGAACTTTCTGGCCACGTTGGGCCATTTCTTGCATTAGTGAGTAGCGGCTGGGGGGCGTGCCTTTCTTGATCCTATAGACCCAAGGTATCTGGAGGAGGAGGAGAAGAGGAGGCAGGTGGGTTCTGAAAAGCATCTGTTCGATGTTTGGCTGTGGAATTTTCCATTTTCCAAGAATACGACTTGTGGGGGTTAAGCCAAAGGGCGGCAGAGTTGCTGAAGCAGGCGAGATGGGCCGGGGAAGTCATTCCTGTTTTAGGTTGTATATCCATTTGCACGGGTACATTAGAACTAACCTTTTGCCCGCCACTCTCATCTTAGATACCAAGAAGAGGGGTGGAGAGGAGAGTGGTTAGAAGCTTATTTACTCAGTTCAGGTGAGAGCACAAATGGGAAAGGTTAGTGTTTTAAGTGAGGGAGTGGAGAGCAAGGTGCAGGGTTGAAGGCAAATATATTCCAGGATGTTTTGACAGCCTGAGAGGGCCTTGGGCAGATGTCTCTCCTACAACGGATCAGAAGAGCTGTGCCATGGGGACTCGGTATTGCAGTTGCCGGCCTCAGAACGGTGCTTATTTTTGGTACATCTGTTAGGAGGAAGATCTCAGTTGCTTAGAACTTGGCCTAATTTTAATTTTATACCTAGACTTAAGATGTGCTTTTGTTCCCCCAACTCTTGACTTTATGAATGGAGTCAAGCTGGCCTTCCCCCATGTTCAAACTTGAATGAAGTGTATCAGAATCACCCAGAGGGCCTTTTTTATTGTTAAGTTTTTTGCCATAGGGTGCGTGCACTCTTTGGAGAGAGACAGTGAGAAGGAAAATGAGAAATCACCCCCAGTGGGGATGGCCACACCACAATATCTTCTCCATTCTCCTCTCAGGATTTTGGTTGTGCACACACATGCACCGGCATGATTTTCAGACTGCCAGGTCCAGGACTTGAACCATGGTGGGGCATGTGGGAGTCCAGCACCTTAACCACGACACCATCTGCTGGGCCCCCAGGTTACTTTCTAAATCTCCCCTTTGTGGTTAAAGAAGCTGCCAGGGAGGCAGCAGGTGGTGTAGTGGTTAAGGCACCGGACTCCCTCATAGTTGACCATGGTTGAGTCCTGGACCTGGTGGCTTGAAAATCACGTCAGGTGTGTGTGCACATGGGACCAAAGTCCCAAGAGGAGAAGGAGCTGTGGCATGGCCATTCCCCTTGGGGGTGATTTCTCATTTTCCCTCTCACTGTCTCTCTCTTTCTCTCTCTGGTGAGCACATAAACCCTTGAAAAAATAAAAAAAACCTTAAAAATCAACAAATTAATAGGGCCAGTGACATAGTGTTAAAACATGATACTCTGGGGCCAGCAGGTGGCATGTAGGTTCAGGGTGCTGGGTCCCTCATGGCTGACAACTCCATGGTTTGACTCCTGGACCCAGCAGGTTAAAAACCACACTAGGTGTGGCATAATGGTTACATTGCTGGACTTCCATGTAGTTGATCGCAGTTCAAGTTCCGGACCCAGTGGCTTAAAACTCACACCAGGCATGTGTGCGTGTGTGCCCAAGATTCCGAGAGAAGAATGGAGAAGGGATTGCGGCATGACCATCCCCCCTGGGGATTTCTTGCTTTCTTTCTCTGTCTCTGTCTTTCTCTCTCTGGCAAGCACATGTGCTTTATAGCAAAAAAATCTCTCTTAAAAAAAAAATCACACTGGGTGTGTGTATGTATGCATGCCCAAAAATCTTGAGAGGAGACTGGAGGAGAAGGGATTGTGGTGTGGCCAGATAACTTGGGGTGTGATTTCTCACTTTCAGAGTTTCAGACTCAGTAGGTCTAAGGTGGGTGGAGCATCTGTTTGTAACAAGCTTCCAGATGCTGTTACTGCAGCAGCCCAGGGACCACCCTTTGAGAGCCACGGCTCTGGTGTTACTGGCAGCTAAGTCCAGATGCTTCTACTTGCAGTCAATGAAATGAGAGACAGAGGCTGACGGTGAAAGTTTATTTCTGCATCCAGGTGACAGGTAGAAGATGTTCAGCAAGCGCCACCAAACTGTCTCGAAAAGCTCAACGTGTGTTCAGTATTCATAGATATAAGCACGAGCAAATCATTCCTCACTTAGGTCAGTCAAAGTCAATTGCTTTTTCCTGATTCCTGTTTTTTTTTTTTTTTTAAAAAAAAAACAAACACAAAAAACTAACCCTGTTCCTGGTTTCTCATCCGACCATTTCTCAAAATAGACCTCCCCAGGACTCAGCACTTGGTGGGGTTGTTTTGTCAGAGGCCTCTCTTAATTTCAAAATGGCTGCAGTCCTACTGAACCTCAAGCTGACCTGCTTCACTGGTGTGATGATTCTTTTTTAAAAAATTATTTATTTTAAAAATTTGACCAGAGTGGCAGAGAGAGAGAAAGGGAAAGTGAGAAAGCAAGCCACCAGGTCTGGGATTTGAACTACAGTCAGCCATGTGGGAGTCCAGTATCTTACTGCTGGCCCCTAGTGCAATTTGGACATGCACACACACACACACACACACACACACACACACACACAGTGTGTTTTTCAAGCTGCCAGGTCCAGGACTTGAACCACAAAATCAGCCATGTGGGATCCAGTATCTTAACCAATGTGCCACCTGCTGGCCCTGGCAGAAGGACTTTTAATTAATTAATGTATTTATTTATTT